CCTAAGAGGCCCAACGTGGAATTCCTGGCCCGAACCTCTCTCTTCACCCACCTTATTCCACTTGTTCTGTAGTCTTTTCTAACTCATTAAATGGCAACCCTGCCCTTCCATTTGCTCAGATTTAACCTCGGAGTTGTTTGTAATGTTTCTCTTTCCTGCAACTGCATTTCTAATTTTTCAGCATAATGATCCTGTTTTGGTTACTGTTAGTGGTTAAGCTATGAGTTTGGATCCCCGTGGTTGGCAGTTCAAAATCACCAGCAGCTCCACAGGAGAAAGACTGGGCTTTCTAACCCTGTAAACAAGTTACAGTCCTGGAAACCCACAGGGGGTTGCTATGAGTCAGCATTGAGTTTACCATGAACACTCTGCCTTAGCCACACCATCTTCTTTCACTTGGTTTGCTGTGATAACATTTTAGCTCTTCTACTTGCCATAGCATAAGATTGATTGTAACGGAGCACTTGGGCGATCCTTCATCAGAGAGTGTCATCCGTCATGCCCCCCACCCCCACCCCTGCCCCAGCACAGAAGATCAGAACTCTGCAGTGCACTTTATTTCTCAGAGGGAAAGCCAAGGCACCACCTCATATTGCTTCACCACCGATCTCTTTGGGGAGAAAGAAGAGACCTTCGACCCCATAGAGAGTAACAGACACCCACAGGGGCAGTTCTGCCCTGCCCTACAGGGACACCAGGAGTGGGACTTGAATCGATGGCAGTGAGTTTGATTTTGGTTTCTGGATCTCATTTGCACTAGCCCCCTTAGGTACTGTATTTCAGCCATGTTGCCTCCTTATTTCTTTAAAAAATCATTTTATTGGGGGTTTGTACAGCTCTTATCACAATCCATCTATCCATCCATTGTGTCAAGCACATTTGTACTTATGTTGCCATCACCACCCCCAAAACACCTTCTTTCCACTTGAGCCTGTGGCATCAGCTCCTGTCTTCTCTAACCCTCCCTCCCGCATGAACCTTTACAATTTATAATTTTTTTTTTCATGTCTTACACTGACCGATGTCTCCCTTTACCCACTTGTCTGTTGTCTGTCCTCCTGGGAGGGGGTTATATGTAGATCATTGTGATCAGTTCCCCCTTTATTCCCCCACCTCCTTTCCCTCCTGGTATTGCTGCTCTCATTATTGGCCCTGAGGGGTTTATCTGTCCTGGATTCCCTGTGTTTCCAGCTCTTATCTGTACCCGTGTACATGCTCTGGTCTAGCTGGATTTGTAAGGTAGAATTGGGGTCATGATAGTGAGGGGAGGAAGCATTAAAGAACTGGAGGAAAGTTATATGTTTCATTGGTGCTATGCTGCACCCTGACTGGCTCGTCTTTTCCTTGTGACCCTTCTGTAAGGGGATGTCTGATTATCGACAGATGGGCTTTGGGTCTCCACGCCACCCTCCCCCTCATTCACAGTGATAGGATTTTTTGTTCTGCATCTTTGATGCCTGAGACCTGACCCATGGACACCTCGTGATCACACAGGCTGGTGTGCTTCTTCCATGTGTGCTTTGTTGCTTCTCAGCTAGATGACCGCTTGCTTATATTTAAACCTTTAAGACCCCAGATGCTGTATCTTTTGATAGCCAGGTACCATCAGCTTTCTTCACATTTGCTAATGCACTCATTTTGTCTTCAGCGATGGTGTTGGGGAGGTGAGCATTACAGAATGCTGGGTTATTAGAACAAAGTGTTCTTGCATCGAGGGAGTACTTAAGTAGAGGCCCAATGTCTGTCTCCTACCTTAATACTTAATACATATAAATATATGTACATAGAGCTATTTCCCTATCACTATATATAAACATATTTACATATGTATATGCCTGTATTTAGACTTTTATAAATGCCCTTTGCCTCCTAGTTCTTTCAATTTCAGCAGTCCTTAACCTCTGGGTCGCGACCCCTTTGAGGGTCTAATGACCCTTTCGTATGGGTTGCCTAAGACCGTTGGAAAACACATATTTCCGATGGTCTTAGAAACCGAGGCACCGCTCCTCTATCCCTCTCCAGGTGGGTCCGCCCACATGCAGCTACGCGCCCACGTGAAGACTGTTAACTCATGCTACACCATGCTTCAAGACAAATGTCATTTATTTGTCATTAGAAATACATATTTCACAATATATAATTACATATTGTTTTTGTGATTAATCACTATGCTTTCATTATGTTCAATTTGTAGCAATGAAAATACATCCTGCATATCAGATATTTACATTATGATTCATAACAGTAGCAAAATTACAGTTGTGAGGCAGCAACACAAACAGTTTTCTGGTTGGGGCGTCATCACAGCATGAGGAACTATATGAAAGGGTCGTGGCATTAGGAAGGTGGAGAACCACTGCTCTATTTCCATTTTACTTTCCTCTTGTTTCACTATCATGCTCGACCTTTATTTGGGTTTCAGTAATTCCTCTCAGCCACATTGCCCTGATCAAGCCCCACCAGGCATCCTACACCCTCCTCGCCATTGATTTTAGATCACTTGTTGTTGTCCCTGGTTTGGTTGACACCCACCTTCCTTTCCTGTGTGCCCCACCCCCAACCACCTGTCCCATTGTTTTCTCCTCCTATTGTTTATCCCACCTATTTTTAGTATATGTGCTGTGGAAACGAGCACTGTCCCATTTATCTTATCTAGATAGACATGCAGAGACAATAATAAGCACAAAAACAAGACAACAAAACAAAACAACACAATGACCAAAAAAGAAAAGCCTATAAATAGTTTCAGATCTGTTTATTGACCGTTAGGAGTGTTCTCCCATATTTTGGGTATTCCCCGGGGACTTCTTTGCTTTGCTCCCCTTGCTGCTCTGTTGCATGCCCTTAGTGTTTGGCCCCGGTGTGGTGGGGTCAGATCAGGCACAATTCCTGCACTGTGTCTCCAGTGTTGTCTCTCATAGTGCTATGGCTTCAGAGTAAACCAGCCTCTAACAACTGAGGAGTCTGGAGGTGCAATTGTACAATTGTAATATATAGAGATCATAGTAAAGTCATAGAATAGGAGAGAGAGTAAAATAAAGCAGTCACACACATTTCATGGTAGCATGCTCACCTCCGGGAGGGCCATGATCCCAGCAACCAGCAGCAGGAGGAGCTACCAAGACGTTTCTACAGGAAGAGTCAACCATGTGCTCACTTGTAGGCAACCTAGCCGTTAGGGGAGACTCTGTGGGAAGGATATTTAACGCAGCATAGCACACTTGGACGTTATCTTTAACGTACCAAAGTGTGGTGGCCTTCCTACTGTGGAACACTAGCTTTCCAGAGTCCCTCTGTTGTAAGTTTGGAAATATAGTCCTTGTCGTGTCTCGCTCAGTGTTCGTTTCCCTCACCGTGTGTCCGTGCACGTCCTTCTTGCTGTTTCGTAAACACACCAAGATTCTCTGACCTGAGCTCGTTGCATCTATAATGTTTAAGGTTTACTCAACTCCCTTCAGGTTTGTACTTAAATATCAGTTCTCTCGGAAGTTGGCTCCAACCTGTAAATTAACCACAAGTCTCCTTTCCCTTTTCCCCAACCCCAAGTGCCCTGGCACCATTTATCTCCCTTTACCTGTTTATCTTAGTTCCTAGAATATATCACTAGTAATGTATATTTAAAGGAGCCTTACTGGTTCTGTGGGTTAGACATTGGGGTGTTAACTGCAAGTTGGCATTACAAGCCCATCAACCATTCCAAGAGAGAAAGATGAGGCTATCTGTACTCCTAATGTATGGTCTCTGTGATTATGAGTTTGTTTTTCTTTAAATATGTATATTTGCTTGTTTATTATATACATTTTTTATCTGTCCTCCCTAGGATGTATATCAGCACAGTGGGGACAGGCAACTGTTCTCTTTGGTTTATTCCTGCCTCCATAGCATCTCAAGCATTATAGGTGTTCTAGAACATTTTTCCCATGAATGAGTGATGGTGGGTAGCAGATTGCTGATGGGCAGCTTGGGTATCATTCTGCCTGGGGTCTATTTCTGCTTCTGCTAACTAGCTAGCTAGTCAGCTTGCTATCTATATTAATCTATACTTACACCTATACTGATACCAATACCTATATCTTGCATCTTCTAGATCTATATAGCCTGCTTTGTTGTGTAATTTGAGCAAGCTATTTAGTCTCTCTGGACATTAGTTTCATTATCCACAAAATGAAGATACTCATTGTACTATCCTCATAGGGTTGTGGGAAGACAAAATAAAAAATAAATATAAAACAGCTTGTATTTGGTACCCTGTTAAGTGTATTCACGCTAGTTACTAAAGTATCTTTTAGGCAGGCAGGTGGGCATTTAGACAGGTAGATGGTTTTATGATAGGCCATTTTCACTAGGACCCATGGTGGCATAGTGAATTGTATATTGGGCTGATAAAACACAAGGTTAGCAGTCAGAAACCCCCACCTATGACATCAGAGAAAGATGAAGCATTCTACTTCTATGGAGAAGTGCAGCATCAGAGACTCACCGAGACAGGTCGACGCTGTTGAGTAGGGTCACTGTTAGTCACTCGACTGGAAGTGAGGGTGGTTTGAAAGACCATTCAGTACATTCCTTGACAATTCGCAACAACATCTTCTGGAGATTGTTCAAAATGCAACTTCCTGAGCTCTGAAGAAGGGTTTTATCAGGCCCTCTGTAATATGTAAAATGGGTTTTTACATATTCATCTTAGAACTATTGGTTAGAGTGAGGAGAAACAGACAAAGGCTAAAGAATGTCAAGTCAATTCTAGGCATGAGGTCAGGTCAAGATGTGCGTGTGCATGTTTGATGAGTGGGATTGAAGAAGTCTTAACGTAGCTACAAATGTGCTTGATCCGATTGGTGTATGAAATGTTATAAGAGCTGTAAGAGCCCACTTTGAAATGATTGAAAAAGCAAAAAGAAGAAGTCTTGACTGACCTTGTGGATTTTAAATGATATTGTTTTGAGGAGGGAATCTTGTTCTGAAAAGCAAATGTCTGATTGTTTCCCTGTCTTCGGCAGCGGGATGTTCTACGACGGGAACCACACATACCTCATTGAGCCAGAAGAAACCGATGCGTCCCAGGCAAGTGCTTCTCTCCTTTGCTCCCACAGACACTGGAGAAGGCAAATGCAAACTTTGATCTTAAGAGTCCTCCTCACCCAATTTCCCCCCATATACATCATTACATTTTCATAGTTTAAAGGTCTAGATCAGCGGTTCTCATCCTGTGGGTCATGACCCTTTGGGGGTCGAACAACCCTTTCAACAGGGGTTGCCCAATTCATAACAGTGGCAAAATTACAGTTATGAAGTAGCAGCGAAAATAATTTTATGGCTTGGGGTCACCATAACACGAGGAACTGTATGAATGGGTCCTGGCATTAGGAAGGCTGAGAACCACTGTTGTAATTGAATATCTCCTGTGTTGGAGAAAATATAGGAATAAGTGGGAAAAGTTGTACAGTAGCTGTTCTTTCCTCCCCAAACAGTAATTTGAAGGATCTAAGCTCCTCCATCTTTGATTGCCTGAAGCCATGAGATTCTTGGTTGTACATGCTTTAATCGCTGTTTCTTTTGTCATTTCAGGAAGATTTTCAATTTCATTCAATTTATAAATCCAGACTGTTTGAATTTCCTTTGGATGACCTTCCATCTGGTATGATATACATAAAATAACTTTCTATTTTCAACGACCCAACTCTAATAGTAATCCAGATGTAGACAAATGTTAGCTTATGACTTCTCATAGAATTTAGGGGAGACATAAAATGCAAACTGACCTTGTGTTAATCGTGAATGAGTTTGGAAAGTGAGTACAGTGAAAAAATATTTAGGATTATAAGTCTCAAAGCAAGGCCATTATCATTGTTGGCTGTCTTCAAGTTGGCCCTGATTCCTAGTGACCCCATGCACAATGAGATAGGACCTTTGTGATCTACAGGATTTTCATTGGCTGGTTTTCAGAATTAGATAAGTAGCCCTTGCTTCCTCATACTTGTTAGTCTAGAAGCTCTACTGAAACCTGTTCAGCATCAGCAGAATGCAACCTTCCACGGACAAACAATGTTTGCTGTGCATCGGCCAGAAATTGAACTCAGGTTTCCCACATGGGAGAATTTTACCACTGAACCACCCTGTCTTCCATAGTAAAGCACTAAAGGAGAAATAGTGTTAGAGCATTTCTTAGTGAAATAATGCCTCTGAAAACTTAAATCTAATTTTAGTTTTTGCAACAAGCCTTTGAGATCAATATTATTATTCCCACATTACAGATGAAAAACAGAGGTTCAGTGAGCTTGTCTTAGCATCCCACATTTAGCAAGGAGCAGAGTCAGAGTTTGGTTTATGGTACCAAAAAAATATACCCTGGGAGAGAGAAACATGGAAGATGGAAAAATTAACAGCTAATTGGAGCAAGTCTGAGAGCATGTCATTCATAAACTACTGCTTAAGAAAATCCACTTATAAGTTTACATTGTCTCTTAAATGGAAAAAGAAATAAATGTTCTCTAATATCCCCTAGTCTGTGAAATAAGTTATCGACTCTTTGGCCTACTGCAATTCCTATAAAAAGAAATAATACTCTCCTCTTCTGTAATAAAGGGAGTAGGAAATCTTCCTGTAGAAGTCATTGTCTCAGAAATCAGCAATGCGCACATGGATGCACTTTCTTTACACTGACTCTCGAGACGGTGTCTTAAGTTACCTCACGAAACTCTCCAAATCCCAATTATGGGATGAAAAGAAGTCATGACTTGCTGCCTGACGATAAAACTACAAGTTAATAGGTATTACTGGAAGCAATAAAAACCAATTAATATTTAAAGGAATAAAGTTTCCCTCTAGAGATGTGATTTTAGGTTTCTATGGCACATGCTTTATTTAACTTTTTATCTTTGTTTAGGTTCCTTTTCCATAGAGACTCTGGGAGTGTGGGAAACTTTGATGTTATTAATAAAGGTTTTAAAGAGAGTCTTAGTTTAAACAGTCAGCTCTGCCTCAGTTTTCTTTTCGCATGAGAAGTTGGCACGTTTGGAAGGCTAATTGTAAGAGTGATATTTGTCTCCCAAGATGCTGAGGTTTACTGCAATAAATGAGAAGAAAAACAGAAATTGAAAATAAAAATAAAAATTGGAGTATAATTTTATTAAATACCTCAGAAGCACACTTATTTATTTTAACTGTATTCTCTACCAGGCGTTATCAGAATTTTATGTTGCTTTGCATTGTATATTCCTCTGAGACCGACATATGATCAGTGCAAATCTCTTAGGACTAGTGCTTGTAAGAAGACACATTGACTTAATTATTGCCTGAGGATCTCTTACTTAACACTCAATTAAAAAATAGTATATACCACAAAGTACACAAATCTTAAGTGTACTATTTTAGGGGTGTCTATGGGACGGCTCTCATGCTGCTAACTGCAAGGTCAGCAGTTTGAAATAGGGTTGCTATGAGTAGTAACCAACCCAGTGGCACCTAACAACAACAACATTCTTAATACAAAAAGATCATGTCTTCTCTCCAGCACAGCTGCTGGTGGGTTTGAATTACTAACCTTTCTGTTAGAAACTGAAGGCTTAATCATTTCATTATATCATTTCAATTCATGTTACTGAGGCTTACCTTATGGTTTATATATTGCTTCGAATATCATTTTTCTTGGTGAATATTGTGTGTATTCTTGAGAAGATGCAAATGAATTCGAAGTAAGCAGGTAAGATGGCAAGCTTCTGATGACTCCCAGGACTGGCAGGCAATATGTCAGGGTATTGACTCAAATTCAGAGTCAGAGATCAATGAACTATTTCAGGATTAAGATCCAGCAAAAAACAAGCACATTTTTCATAGTGTCTTCTTATTTTGGAAATAGGCCACACCCTTGAGGTGACCTCATCATGGGGTACTACTAGATCATAAATGCCAAACCACTGAGAACCCTGACCAGCCAAGTTGACACAAAACCTTAGTTATCACAGTCTACCCCTTGGCCATGTGTCATCTGGTCACATCTCCTTAAACCATATGATCTGTCAATAAAAATAATTATAAAATCATATTTTTAATCTAGAGTGATAATGATTGACATATAAAACAGATTATTTACACATTTACATGTTATATTTTATAAAGTGAACAACCAAAAATATTTGATGTATACAATAATTGCAGTCTTTGTTTTTTTAACTAATCACATGCCTTTAGCTGGTGTTTATAACTGCCTTCTTCTACCATCCATTATGTATTCGTTTTGTACTCAGCAAACACCTCAACTGGATATGTTTTTTTGTCTAATAAGGTGGTCCAAACTTTCAGTCCTAAAGGAACTGGGCCATCAGTAGTCATTTCAGAATTGTGTTGCTGTAGTTTACCTTTGACATGATAAGGCTTGTAACACTAAAAGATGTCCTAAGAAATCTCCTGAATTCTAGAAATATTCTTTATCTATATTACATAATTTCAATCCAATTCCTCTTAATAATCAGAATCAATCACACCATTCAATACATTAACTTACAGTTCAGTGGAATTAGTGTTATCCTCCAAGGTAGGAATATTTCCTTTGGAACAAAGATACCCTTCTACCCCACACCCACCGCTGCCAGACCAGAAGAGCATAGGTTGCAGGGGTAGGAAGCAAAAACATTGTGAATGAGTCATTAGGAGAAATAGAGTAATGTTGCTCTCATTTCTGCCACTTGGTGCCTAGACCTATAATTTCTGGCTATTGGAGAATCAGAGTCAACACTGTATATTGGATGCTGGTTCAGTGTATATACAGCTACCTAGGGAATAGTACCCCAAAGCTGCAAGATGCTGACCCCTAGCTTCAGGATTATGGAGAACATGGTAAGACTAGTAAATTCCATATCATGAGCCCATTGCCACACTTCATTTGCTGTGAAGTGCATCTCTTCACCTGAGTCAGTGTTGTGTGGGATAACATGCCAGTGGATAAGGCATTCTGTAAGACAGGGAAGGCAAATTTGTATCCAGAAAACATGTCTATTCCAGTAAGGGTTGGGGGGAGGACACCGAAAACCGCTGCCCTTGCCATAATGGGAATTGTCCAACATGATCCACCTGCCACAGGTTGATCTCCCTGGGGACTGTTCTTATAATGGGAGTGCGTGGTGTTGGTCTCTGTTGCTGGCAGATGTGACACCAGCAGTCGCAGTATTCAAGTGAGCCCGGGTAAGTGAAAGTCCGTATTGTTGAGCCCATGACCTCCACCCCTGCCAGCATGGCCACTTTGTTCCTGAGCCTCTCGGGCAATGACGGGAGTGGCTGGAGAGAGGGGAGGACTGAGGACTGGTTTCTGTGGAGCATGTCGTCTAACCCACTGATTGTTACCACTGCAGAGGTAACTTTTTGGTGAGAACTATCATGAGAGACATTAAATATCTTCATTTTTTGACCCATCCATAGAAGTCCATAATACTTCTTCCTCATAAACCTTTCCCCAACACCTCCTTGCAACCAGTTTTCCAGTCATGTTCTTTCCAAGTCCCTGACATTCCAGCCAAACCATCAGTCACAACCCACGGGTCAGTATATAGTCACACACTGGGTCATTTCTCCCTCCAAGAAAATGGAACAACAAATGAACTGGTCAAGAGTCTGCCCATTAGGAGGTGAGAGAAGGGGCTGTAGTGCTGCTGCTATCCAGTTTCAAAGGGGTAAGGAGGTGGGGGGGGGCGGGGCGGCTTATGCCAAACCATCTAAAACCATTTGGTACCAAAGGTGGTTCTAGAGGAACAAAATTGTAAGGATGATTTTTCTAAATGGATCCCAAGCCTGATTAGTTTTAAAGGCATGATGACTCTGCCTCCATTAGTTAAGAGAGTGCTACTAATCTATGTTATGTGTTGGCAATATTAATGTGCAAAATATCACCATCAATGGAATGATGGTGAATGATCAATGAAAGGACGGGCCCTAGTAGATTGTGTGATACTTCTGCAATTTTGTCAGGATGAGACTATGGAGAAGCTGGTTGGTCAGTCCCATTTTTAACAGATAAGTAGTTAAAGAAAGGGACTATTTTAGGGCTTCAGAGTCAGAGGTTAAGCACTGCATAAAAGACCTCAAAGTTTATACTTGTGCCTGAAAGAAAGCCTTATTTATTAATAACAATTGATGTTGCTGAAATCCAAACCAAGAGTTTTATTTTAAGAGTGCCTGACATACAACGCTAACTGAATTCCCAACCTTTAATGGTGTTTGATGTTAAAGTGAGAGCATTGATTGGGAAGAAATGGGACCTTGAAACTTGAGATGGGGACATATGGTCAGATAATCAGAAAAATGGGAATTTATATCCTCTAAATTCCAGCCAACAGCATCGTCCCTCTTATTCGCAGAGATTGCTCCATCTTTGTCTGCTAATACATTATCATTACAGCCATTATGCCTCCCGCTCACTTTTGATGAGATTAACCCAAAGGTGCCTCCTAATATACCACTTGGGACATTGTCTAGAACATCGCCTCTAGCAAATAGATGCCTTATCAGACACTGTTGAATGTTTCCAGGAAGCACCCATTTCCTGGCACTAAATGTCTTAAGCTGGGTTCTTTGTAGAAGTAAAACCAGTGAAGTTTATATATGTATATCTATAGAGAGGTGTTTACATCTATAAAATGAATCACACAATTACAGAGACAGGTAAATTCCAAGTAGATGGCTCACATAGAGGCATCTCTGACTTGTGGAGCTATAAAGGCTGATGATGGGCAGGAAGACAACAGGTTTCTGGCTTTAGATAGAAATGAACTTAAAGTTGGCAGGTTGTGGCTGCAGAGGTGAATGAATCCAAGATCAGCAGGTGAGTTGGCAGGTTGCTGATGACTCCCAGGATTGGCAGGCAGTATTTTAGGCTGTTGGCTCAAGTTCAAATTAGAGGTTGATGAGCCAGTTTCACAGACCCAGCACTAAGCAAGCGTTTCCAGTGTGTTTATGTTGGAAACGGGTCACACGTTCAAGGACAGCTCATCATGGAGGACTACTAGGTCTTAACAGCCAAACACACAGAGAATTTTGGCCTAGCCAAGTCGACCCATAACTTTAACTATCACAATGATAAAGATCACTGTTGGTATTATATGCCATTACTCACATTAGAAGCCTCACATTGAGTCCATTTTGGTCAGTCAGCCAGGTATCAAAATTTTAGGAAGTCTACACTATACAGAGTGATGCATTGTAGAGAAATCTCTCTTATAGATCTTCTCATCTAATATTCAGAGATGAACCTGTATACATGAACAACTAGCTTTGGTCTTCAAGTTAGAAGGAGTTTTCTGTACTAATAACAAACAGAGCCTCAGGAAATTTGCTTGTTGTTGAAAAGAATGTAAATGAACTGGGGGAGCAGTAAACCAACATCTCAGGGCCTTATGAAAATTCTGTTATCTGATAAGCATGTGCTTATTTATTTTACTTGTTTATCATTTCTCTTCCTTATTTATTTTGCTGCTTCTATAAGATCAGTAGTGGAATTACAGGTCAAGTTGGCTATTTTAGAGAGTTCTGATAGAGATCATGATAAAAGAGAGATAACGGAAACATTTTGAGATATAAAGGGGAAATGATGTTTGATGCTTTTGTGAACTTTATTTATTAATAACATATGTAATATTAATTTGAACCCAACTACTTAGATTATTGTTCTGTTATCATTAAGTACAACTTGGTATAACATAATAGTCATCAAAAGGGAGAAGGCTAGTAAAAAGTTGATGGTCTTATATTAAAGAAGGCTGGAAAATACACTAAATCAAATTATATTTCTTTTTATTTTCTCTTAGAATTCCAACAAGTAAATATCACTTCACCAAAATTTATTTTGAAGCCAAGGTCAAAAAGGATTAAAAGGCAGGTATGTGCCCACAGGTATAATTTGTGATGTTTTAAAAGACTTGGCAAATGCCAGTCATTGAAATCTACATTAAGGCTCTATGAGAGGGTGAATATTGATTCAGGCATTTGTCAGGGAGTGGAAAGCAATAGGGACCTGTCTGTGGAAGCAGTGGATGAGGCCATGCTATCTCAGAGACTGATAGTGGTGACGATAAGCTTCTTTGCCAGTAGGTGACTATAGAGCCATGGCTCAGCATATCTCAGGGGTTTTCTATCGTGGGTCTCTTTCCTTGCCAGCTTATATTACATCGTAGAGTCTACTTGCATGGTATGCATTTATTCTGATAAAGATACCATCCTTAATTATAAATGAGTCCATGAGGTTTTTGAGTCATCAGATGTGCCTGTCTCAACAGAACTATTTTAGAATCTAGGATATCAGACTAGGACCCAAGCTTTATGAAGGTCCAAGTGTTTTAGGGTGCTTTAACCCATGAAATAGGTACTAATCCTCCACTTTCACAGGAAGAAAAATGATGGTTCTGAAATGTAAAAATGATTTGCCAGAATTATCGAGCTGGTAAATGGTTTAGACAGAAACAGTGCTGGTTTAAAAAATTCACTGTCAGATTTCAATTTGACATCCTCCTTAATTTCACGAATTTAAACTGTGAGGGCAGGATGACTCTTTTAACATATGCCTTTAGTTCTTCATAAACATGGGTAACATTACGTCATTTCCTAAGTAAAGCATTTGATTTCCCTGTCTGAGAAAGGCGTGGTTCTCTGGAGATAAGATGCCATGAATTTGCCTGCTAATACGACAATGCTCTGACGTTTTAAAAATGTTGAGGTGTTGGAAGTTTCTCTGTATTAATGAGTACACCTCAAGCCGCTTCTGCAAGGAGCAAAGCAGGTCATATCAATCTCAATCAAAACTCTAAACTGACTGCCACCAAGTCCATTCTCGGAGTGACCCTGTAGGATGGGGGACTGCCGTTTTGGGATTACAAGATGAACTTTTCATGGGAGTAGAAAGCTTCATCTCTCCCTCGAAGCAGCTCATGGATTTGAGTTGCGGACCTTTCGTTCAGTCAACCAGTGCATAGCCACTGTACCATCGGAGCTCCTTCTCAGTAATCTAAAGACAGACGCCATTTAAACAGAAAGAAGACTTGTGTCCCTGGGTACCGTTTAGTGTCAGCACTAATTTCTTCTCATTCTCTGTCAACTAAATACATATTTTTAAGTTTGAAAATGAAATTAGTAATGAGGCACATCCAAGTGGCAGCAATTTTTAATTTGTCTGAATCCAGTATATTCAACATAAATATTTAAATATTGATTTAAGTTTGACTGTATACCCTTATCATAAAAATGGCCCAAAGGTAAGGGGAAAAAAGATTTGCTGCATGTGTGTTGAAGCACAGCATGAAAGAAAAGGTTCAGTTATATATCTCATTGAAGACTGAGTTAGGAACTAACCATAGAGCGCAAAGATGGCTGCCACAGTGGTTATTGACTAATAGCCATGATTTTGAAGGTGGGGAAAATTTGTTATTGAGCAGACAAATGTAACTGTGGCAAAGGCAGCCTAGAAGCTTTTAAAGCTAATAAAGCTCCTGTTTCTGTTGGGAAATTCCCGGGATCGTGCCTCCCAAGTGGGAGATGACAGATTCAATGTGCCAATCAATCTGCTCCGTACAGCCTCTCAGATCCACAGGAGCTTAAATTAAACCAATAAGGATGCTTTTCATGTGTTAATTATCTTCCAGGTAGAGTTAAATGAAAAGTGAAATAAATGGAAGTCGAAAATAAAATATATATATTCATATTTGATTTATTTCACATAAATATAAAACCAATAACAGTGATATACTCAATTGTGGGCAAAGAGTAGAAATGAGGTAGGTTGGGGCTGGAGGAGAGAAGAAGACTTGGATCCTGACCTTTCTTAAAATTTCTAAAGTTTTTGAAGTAAGTGTATGTCCTAAAAAGCTAAATAAATTGATGAAATGTGAAAATGCATTCACTGAAAGGAGAGTAAAAGGAGGAAAGTGTTCATTTGTTCACGTTACCTTTCTCAGTCAAGTGTAGCAGGCTTGTTTAGGTGCCGCTTCTCCTTTTACATTGCAGCTTCGCCGACGTCCTCGCAACGTAGAGGAGGAAACCAAATATATTGAACTAATGATTGTCAATGATCATCTCATGGTAGGATTTAATTGTTTTTACAGTTTTGTTTCTGTTGTGCCTTGCTGTAAAGATTTGTAGGATACAAACTTACCTGTTCAGAAATATGCTAAGAAGAAACCAGGGACCTGCCAAGTTGTATCCTGGCAAGGTATTTGTGTAACCACACAGTCTTGTGCTTTAGCAACAACCTGAAAATCGGAAATACTTTGGGGTTAAAATAACTAGGGATGGTCTGCTCTCAGCCTGACATCAGAATAAACACACTGTGCATTCTCTTTCAAAAAAACCCCACAAAACTAGGGATAATTTGTGAAGTTAAAAAACCTTTGGGCTTTGTGGGATTAATATAGATACTAATATTTGAATCTTACTAAACTGATAGGTTTAAAATACAGAAATGTTTACTTATATTAAAAGGGAAGTGGAGCAGTAATAATGTCTTAGTTTACCGTGTACAGCTTCATCCCGAGAAAAGCAGACATTTTTTGTTTCTGTCTTGCCTCGCTGAAAACCGTATGCACTTCTCATAGAGCCAAGCTCTAAAGATTCTTAGGATAAAAACTTGCCAAACTCCTTTCTTCTTACTGAGTTAATTATTTTCACCTAGAGTCTCTGTATTCAATTCATGGACGTGTTGCAGTCAGTGTGCTTATATTCACAGCACAGCAATTAGAATTCTCTCTCGTAACTAGAAATTTAAGTAAGTCTGTTATGCGGTGCACCTCAATACATTTTATTTTATTTCAGACGTAAGGTGCATTTTTATTTACTTTGATTCACTTGAAGGAAAAAATGTCATTTATTTATGTATGGTTAAAATGAATAATATCAATATCCTTAAGGATTATTACGCCTAATAGTATCATGAGTAATAATAATCATGCAATCATTGTTTCTGTGTTGTTTCCTATAAAAATTATTTGATAAGGGAACAACAAGCTATCTAAAATTGATGGCGAGGAGGGCATATAATGCTTGGTGGGGTTTAATCAAGTGCAATGTATCTGAGAGGAATTACTGAGAGCCGAGTGGAGGGTGAGCATGATAGTGGGATAGGGGGAAGGTGAAAGGAAATAGAGGAAAGAAATAGGAGGCAAAAGCTATTTATAGAGGTATAGCTATAGGCATGTATATATGTAAATATACTAATTTATAATGAAAGGCATAGAGACCAACATACATATATTTATATGTTAAGTATTAAGATAGCAGATGGATTTTGGGCCTCTACTCAAGGCCGCCCTTAACATAAGAACACTTTGTTCTGATAACCTGGCACTCTCTGATACTCACCTTTCAAACACAATCGCTGAAGACAAAATGGTTGCATAAGCAAATGTAGTGAAGAGAGCAGATAGTGCCCGCTATCAAAAGATATAGCATCTAGAGTTTTATAGGCTTGAGGTTAAAAAAGCAGCCATCTAGCAGAGAAGCAAATAAGCCCACATGGAAGAAGCACACCAGCCTGTGTGATCATGAAGTATCAAAAGATCCAAAATTAACAAGTATATTGATGCAAACGAGAGGTTGGAATGGAGACCCAAAGCCCATCTGTAGACAATTGGATATGCCCCACAGAAGGGTTTTCAAGAAGGGATGATTCAACCAAGGTATAATATAGCACTGACAAATCCCTTTTTTTTTCTAGTTCCTGAATGCTTCCTCTTCCCGTCCCTGCCCCCCTTCCCCTCCCCCACTACCATGACCCAGTTCTAACTTACATGTCTGGCTAGACTGGAGAACACACTTTGGTACGGATAAGAGCTCTCGACACATGGAATTCAAGAAAGATAAACCCCTTAGGAACAGTAGTGGGAGTAGCGATATCGTGAGGGAAGGAGGATGGTTAGGGATGGGGAAGGAGAAAAAAGGGAACCCATCACAAGGTTGGATATATAGCCCCCCCATGAAGGGGGCAAATCACAGAAATGTGGGTTAAGGGAGACAATGGACAGTGTAAGATACGAAATAATAATGACAATATATAATTGACCAAAGATTCATGAGGGTGGGGAAGGGGAGGGGAAAAAAACCAGAGCTGATACCAAGGGCTCAAGTAGAAAATGTTTGGGAAATGATGATGTCAACATATATACAAATATGCTTGATACAATTGATAATATGGAATGTTAAAAGAACTGTAAGAGCCCCTAATAAAAAATAATTTAAAAAAATACAAAAAACCCCAAAACAAATACAAGTAAAAATTCTTTGTTTTCAGGGCCAGATAAAGTTTCATCTTTCTGCCTACTTGAATCTAAGGAAGGCTACCATTCTCTGGGTTTTTCATCCAAGAAGAATAAGGGAACATCTATTTTGGACCATGGGTTAGATCATGCACATGAAGCAGTTCGATTTTAACACACTAGGGAGGGGTGGGGCGTAGGGCGAACGAGGATGCACACAGGCTGTTGTAAGTGAAACTGAAACCCGATGGTACATGACAGTTTCAGAATTTTGAAATACCTTTGAGGCTAAACAAAAGATAAGTGTGAGCCACCTTTTGTGACCCTCATCACAGGACTTTTTATTGATAATAAGTCTTATAAAACTTATAAATGTTTATAATTTTAGCAATGCTCATAATCCTTTTTTCCCATCGATAACTCTTATGTATTGGTTGCCTGTGTGATCGTTGTTTTGTGTCACTAGAAAATCCAGCCTCACACACCTTGCAGTTTTATCATTTGAAGTAATATTCTTGATAGAAATAAGTCTGTGAAATGCTTGCAGTTTGGAATGGCTTCCATTTCAGCTCACAGTTGAGGCAATTGAGACCTCAAATTTTAGCAGTTTTAAAGAAAGCCTTAGGGATGTTTCAACGTAACCATATTTTCTTTGCTGTGAAGTTTATTACCTGATGTCTTTGGAAGCACTTCACTTGTTTTCCTTTACTTTCAGTTTAAAAAGCATCGGTTGTCAGTTGTACATACAAATACCTATGCGAAATCTGTGGTGAACATGGCCGATTTAGTAAGTATCAATCTGATTCATTATCCCCGTAAGAAAAAGTGTTAGACCTTGGTATCACCAAGGAGATAGATCTTACACTTTCACTGCTCTGAATTCCACGTTAGCCAAGATGCTCTTTTAAGTGCCTAGTCACCTTGCAGTGGACTTGATTGACTTCGATCTCTGACTGGCAAGGTGATGAAAGGAAATGGTCAAAGTTACCCACAGAGAGATGCCTGGAATACCTTCCTGTGTTTATCACATGGGAGAAGACAGCTGTTGAACCATAGCCTCTAGCTAAAATGGTCTTGTAGACTTCTGACAATAGAGAAGAGGTACCACAGTTGTGCCCTTTTCAAAAGAGGGCCCAACGTGTGGCATGATATAAGTAATCCCATTGTTCCCAGCTCCTTGACAACACACTGCCAGTGAATATTAATCAGGGCAGTCAGTATGCAATTAATGATTTCCTTAGAAGTGTTTAGGTAATTATTCCCTTGGAGACGCCTCATGGTTCCAGTCTTTGCTAGGAGAACTCAAGAATGCATGCGTTCTTTGTTTAGGGTGCCGGAAAGTGGGCTCAGAGGCATCCTGGAGTAAGAGTGCCAGATTTGCCAATACAAGATCTTTTGTTCCTATTTAGTGTCTATTTGTGGAGTTCCTTGGTGAATAATTTAACTCTTTATTGCTCGAGAGAAGTGCATGGAAGTTAGAGAAAGAATGTTCCCCCTTGAGAATAATTGAATTTCTAGAATGATGATGGCAACAAATGTACGAATAGGCTTGACACAATGGATGACTGTATGGATTGTGATAAAAAGAGTTTTACCAGCCCCCAATAAAATGATTTATATATGAAAAAAGAATAATTGAATTTCTTACCTTTAATTAGAACCCAATTTCCATAAAAGAAAGGAACTTTTTTATTCCTGTTCACAAATAACTTGATTTTTTACCTCGTATACAACTGGTATGTTCATTTTGTTAATATACTAGATCTATAAAGACCAACTTAAGACAAGGATAGTATTGGTTGCCATGGAAACCTGGGCAAGTGACAACAAGTTCGTCATATCTGAAAATCCATTGATCACCCTACGTGAGTTTATGAAATACAGGAGGGATTTTATCAAAGAGAAAAGTGATGCAGTTCACCTTTTTTCGTACGTAACTCTTTGTAATGATTTGTTATTTCTTTGGTTGCATGCTGAATGTTCTATTTCCTGTGAATGACATGTAGCTTTTCCCTGCTACAATTAGGATTTGACATGGCAAATATGTTTGGAAGACATTTATAACGATAGATTGTTTTAAAGAGGTTTAATTTTAAGGTGTGCTATTGCATGAAAATTTCATTTAAATTTTAAGAGATTTCATCGAGCATTTACAAAGTGAAAATACTGCTAATTTTCCAAATAACACATTAATTTTATTCCTTAAAGTTACTGTCTTTGAAATATTAACTGACCCTTTATTTTGGTTCTAAATATTAGAACCAACTTAGTATTACTGGGATTTATTTATTTATTTATGTTTCTCTCTCATTTTTGTATTCTTTTTTGGGTAATTCATACATATTTGATGGCATAGAAAGCTTTTTATAGTAGATGTTAAAAGTTTTTGTCCAAAGTCAGAAATGTTGAAAATGCTTATAAATGGAAGCAAACGACAGTATTTATTAACTTTGTATTTTTCTATAATTCCAAATTTATAGAAAACTGGCAAGAATGCTACAAGGATATAATATATGCTGTACCCACACTCATCAATTGGCTGTACTTTGTCCTGTTTGTTCCTGCATTCTTTCACCTTTGTTCCATCCCACCCTTTTCACCCACGCACCCTCCGTCCGTCCATCCAGCCATCCATCTATCCATACATCCAACTGTCTAACTACTTTTTTGCCATCTGGCTGTTAATTGGAGACATACTTGTATGTCCTAAGATTAAGAACACCCTATGTAACCACCGTACCTCACCTCACTGCCATCGATTTGATGCTGACTCATACTGTACCTATAGGACAGGGTAGAACTGCCCCTGTGAGTTTCTGAGACGGTAACTCATTACAGGAGTAGAAAGCTCTGGTTTTTCTCCCAAGGAGCTGCTGGTAGTTTTGAACTACTGACCTTGTAGTTAGTAGCCCAATGAGTAAGCACATCAGCAGTGTTCCATACATAACCACAGTACAATTATGAAAACTAGAAAATTAAACGTTGATACCATATTTTTTTCTAATCCATATTCAAATTGTATCAGTTGTCTAGATATTCTTATAGCTACTCCCCCACTCCTCCATCCAGGATCCAATCCAGAGCCTACATTACAGTTAATTGTCATCTCTCTTTAGTCTCCTTTCATCTGAAAGGTTACCTCGGCCTGCCTTTTCTACACTGCATTTAACGTTCGTGAAGAACAAAGGGCAGTTACTTTGTAGGATGTTGCTCTTTGTGCTAACGTCGGGTGATGTTTTCTCACTGTGAGATTCAAGCTATACGTACTTGGCAGAAATGGCACAGATGTGCTGTTGCATCCTTTTGAGAGTGTGTCATATCAGTGTTTCCATTTTAGTAGGTCTGCTTCTATTTAAGACACTTAGTGCTCATGTGGCGGAATATCTCACAACTCTTTCTCTTTATGTATGTGTGTAAAAGCGTTAACATTCCTCCTTTAAGTCGGGAGCATACAGAGTAGACATTTGATGTGTAAGATGCAAATAAATGTAGTAAATAAGCAAATAAACTAATCATGCGAGGTGCTATGGTGTTTGTACTGTGAGCAGTAAGCATTTTTTCATTTCCTTTTCTAAAAGGGGGAGTCAATTTGAGAGTAGCCGGAGCGGGGCAGCTTATATTGGTGGGATATGCTCATTGCTGAAAGGAGGAGGCGTGAATGAAGTAGGTGTGAACATCTATACAGTCCACAGTGGTATGATGGCTAGAAATGCTTTCCTAATACTTAAGAAATACGTTCTCGGTGTTCTACATAGTCCAGATGTTAGATGGTTTTTAATAACAATCAATATGATTACCCTAAATGATTAGAGGACAAAACAGGGAAATAATGGAAGATAAAGTCTGATAAGTCTGCTCATGCTCTATTTAAAATAATTTCCACGAAAGACGTATAGCGTCGTTATTTTTACATTCATTGGAAATAAGGCCTTATCACGTTTACTGATTCTTCAGAGAATTGAATACCGTACATACTCATATATAAGCTGAAGTTTTCAACACATTTTAATGAAGTTTTTGTGGTAAAATTAGGTGGCTCGGCTGATATTTGGGCCACCTTATACTCGAGTATATACGGTAATTCCCTGAAGTATAACAAACCGATAGGAACTTTTCTTTCTTTCTCAGTACTTACTAGATTTGGAAAGAAAACATATACTAGCTTTAGGGTTTCCTTCTAGACCTAGAATACACTCACTAAAGACAGCAAGCCTTCCAAAGTGGATCGAAAGTAAAATAATGGAATCTTTGGGAGAGTCTGTATTGAAAAAAAACCCCAGTTCTTCTCAAGTTTCTATTGGCCATATATCATCACTGAATTTTGCTGCTACCTCATCCTATTAGCTTTTTGGAGAAATTTCAAGAGTATAAGGAAACACACAGATGAACAAGTTCCAGATAATTCACATATTCATTTTTAGTTAGTTTTATCAGAAGGACTCTAACTCAATTATACAGAAGTATTACGTTTTTCTGGAATGTCACAGTTAAAATTTGCATTCATAAATAGTTTCCAAACCCCAAAGTAGATGCCTTCTAGTCTTCCCACTATGAGCTAACAAACCCAGGTGCATTTATTACTGTGTGCTTAGCTTCTTCTAAAGAAAATGCTTAGAAATAAATACTTTAAATTATATTGTGACATTTTCTTTGGACCAATGGGGTTTGGTGGGGGGCGGGCGGAAAACCCACCTTTCTCTTACATGTATTTTATTTTTGTTTTTCAGTTTGGTAAAACTGACTTAATGGCAGTTACACTTGCCCAGTCCTTGGCCCATAATATTGGTATTATCTCAGACAAAACAAAGTTAGCCAGTGGTAAGTTTTAATCCATGCATCTATAGCTTAGTTGTATGTAAACTAGACTATAAAATATTTTTTAAGGATGTGATTCTTTTGTTCAGTTGCTTGATTAAAAGACTTTGGTTGGTAGTAAAAGATGTGCAGAGAGGGCAGACTCAGGATTCAAACCCAGGCTCTTTCTGATTTGAATCTGCTTCGGCACTATATTATACTGCTTTCTTGAAGTAGCCCTAGTGTAGAGACTTAAAAATGAACCAGAAATTGCAACAACTTTTATAACAGGCCATGAAATTGATATCAGTTCCTGTGTAGTTCAATATTACATTGCTATCTAATTACATTGTATTTAAACTATGCTAAGTGAATACTTTTAAAATATGGCCACTCTTTAAAATAACAGGAGATAGTATTTGAGGAACATACACAATCTTGATAAGGTCAAAGTATATTTTGGTTGTTTTGTATTACATAAAAATATTTAATTGTAGGGAAAATTAGGAAGCAGATATCACAGTTAATAAGGTCATTAAAGAGCAAAGTGTAGATTTTTGTTAACCTGGCAAATACTTCAATGCATCTGTTAACACTATGGTAAAAGGTCCTGCGTTTCCTTTTCTTTTAGGAGAGTGTAAATGTGAGGACACGTGGTCTGGATGTATAATGGGAGATACTGGGTAAGTCATTTCTACTTGAAAATAATTCACTGTTCTTTTCCCTGCTATGCTGTTGTCTCCCTCTGAATATGACACTAAGATAGAATATGGAAGGAAGATGGGACTTTCTACGCCCGTAACCAGTTACTGTCTCAAAAACTCACAGGGACAGTTCTATCCTGTCCTTTAGGGTCACACAGGAAGAGCAGAGACAATTGGAGAGGGTGTTTGGGAAAATGTGCAACTATAATGAGAGCTCAAAAGAAGCTGAACCTGGCCAGAAGCGTCATGGTATAGTGTCAGGTAGACGCCAGGCAGGAAACCTGTAGTCTTGCTGACTGGCCAGCTCCCAGGGCAGAGGGGGCTCCAGGATCAGGAACATAGGGAGGGCTAGCAGGAAGTGGAGTCTTGGAGGCAGCTGGACAAGTCTCACCATGTGCCAGCGCAGGAAGAAGGTGAAGTGGTCAAGCCATGGGAACCTCCCGCCACACAGCTGAATAGCTTTGCCTCTTTCAAGCCTCCCCCTCCTCAGAGGAGTTATCCCTCTCTGGGCTCAATCCAGTGAGGTACATTTTTGTACATTTTAGCTGCGTCATTATTTCTGTGATTATCTATTTAAAATAAAATTGAAAAACAAACAAAGCCTAGACAAATGAATGGTCTGAAACAATATTGAAAAGAACACTGTAACTACCTGGTCTGTGGGACACTTCTGCCCCATACTGTCAGGTTGCTACGAGTTGGAATTGACTTAATGGCAGTCGGATTTTGAGACCTGGTCTTTGGAACCTAATCATCTTTAGTAATAAGAAAACGTATGAAGGCCTCTGTAGTTGTAACTTTTCGACAACTACTAAAATTTATTCTAGCGATTATTGCCATTTTAAGCCTGTTATATCTGACTATTCTAATCACCTTTTAGCAAAATTTTATAGACACTCTCCATAGCATTAACCATTATATCAAATCAAATCAAATGGTTACTCACAGAATTATAATATGATGGTTTGCACTACAGCGCCCTCCTTACATTAAATGGATGCATGCAAGACAAAAATCCCTTTATGAATGGTATAAGATATAAAAGTAATAATAATTTATAATTTGTCAAGGGTTCGTGGTGGTGGTATGGGAAGGTGGGAGGGAAAAGGATGAGCTGATACCAAGGGCTCAAGTAGAAAGAAAATGTTTTGAAAAGGTGCTGGCAACATATGTACAAATGTGCTTGATACAATGGATGTGTGGATTGTTAAAAGAGCTGTTAGAGCCTCCAGTAAGATGATTTTAAAAATCCCTATACAAAAATGATTTAAGAAAAAAGAAAAATCCCTTTATATAAAATATTAATAGAGTACTATAAGTTGATCATTGCTTAAATATCACCTAGTAGCCCCTAATTATGGGAATTTCATTCCCCGGGGTACATTTCCTCCCATTTCTACTTTCTGAGGTGCCTTTGTATTGCTAAACCTTCGGAAGAAACTGTTGAAATGAATATCATTAGTCCTATTGAAAAATAGAAAAATAAAAAATTGAAGAATGCGTTGAGTAAAATAGATCTGTTATCTTGTGCAGATGAAGCTGTTGTCAGAGGCTGGGAGAGACATGGTATTTGCCTTCAGGAATTTGAGGGATTGTGTTGTAGTAGAGGAAAAAGTCCCACTTGATAGAGTTAAAGCACAGAACTGAGTGCAGAAATTATGGACAGACATCAGATTAAGAGGAAAGCAATTCACTATTGTCAACCATTCAGATATAATTATATTTCCCTGCAAGGGAGTTGAGTTTCCTGTGACTGGGAGAACAGAGTGAGTTTCCATTTTGTATAGTGGGCAGGAGCCTGAACGATGGTTGGACTTCTAAGGGTCCAGTGTTAAGAGGTTAATATTTGATTTATTTTTTACTTTGGCAGTACAAAGCCTTCTCAGGCCTAAATGCCATTTAAAAATTCCACAATTTGTCAAAGACATATGGATGGATCAGAGTGGAAGGTGTTAAAAACACTGGCCAGGCTTTGAACTTGATGGCATCATGTGTACAAATGTGCTTGACACGATGGATGGATGGATGGATGGATGGAGGTTGTGATAAGAGCTGTAAGAGCCCCCAATAAAATGATTTAAAAAAACCAAAACATTGGCCAGAGTGCAGGCATTGTAAAGGAAAAAGGAAATAATCCATATAAGAAACTTTTCACACACACACATCAAATTTATGGCTTGTTTAGGCAAGGGAAGAACTAAAGTAGTTCAAACAATTTAAACTCCAAATTCTTTATACTAGAGCAGCTTTATGTAGAGAGTTTGGAATGAAAAGGATGAATAATCGTTTTAAAGAGTCCTGGTGGCGCAGTGGTCACCTGTTGGGCTGCTAACCCCACAAGGTGAGCAGGCTGAATCCACCAGCCACTCCACAGGAGAAAGACGGGCTTTGTTGGTGCAGAGTTACAGTCTAGGGAACTTTGAGGGGTAGTTCTATCCGGGCTTACAGGGTTGCTATGAATCAGCATCAACTCAATGGAAGTGAGTTGGTTTTGTTTTTAGTTTAATTATTCTAAATACCATTCATGTTTCACAAAGCATTAATCATTGTTTTAACAAGAATTAGGGATATAAATGAACTTAGTTCTTACAGGCTGAAGGATCGACTAAATAAATCAGCCATTTTTATTGTAACTGTTTCTTTTCTCTTTAAAAAAAACCAAAAACAATGTAAGACAATTTTGAAAAATATAGGAAATGAAATTTTTACTGCCTCTTTTCTTACCGCCCAATGAAAACCATTTCACTCAAACTCACTGACATAAAATCAATTCTGTAGAATCACTCCTATGGAGTGATTGATGGTTTTGAACTGCTAACCTTGAGATTAGAAACTCAACTCATAACCCACTATGCCACCAGGGCCTCAGTGATAACCATAGCTGGTGTTAAAATATGTTTACACCTGTATTTAAATATATTTTTCTCAATCCATTATTATTTTTGTTGTTATAAATCTTGGATTATTTGGGCTATGTATTGATTTATCCATTTGCGTGTGTGTGTGTGTGTGTGTGTGTGTGTGTGTGTTACGTTTTAGGCTATCTACTCTGCATGCTACTCATCAACCCCTCTATATTATTGCTACCCACTCCTGCCACCATCTCTTCTCTCTCTTACGGTTCTCTACCCTCTCTTTAACACAAGTCAACACCTGTCAACCCTCTACTCTTGTTTCATCTTCCTTCTCTTGGCCAATCCCCCTCCTTAGTAACTTCTAAAACCTGTTCACTTTTGCACACAAGTCTTTGACTTGGTTCTTATTCGTATAGTAGTGGTCTCATACAATATTTGTTCTTTTGTAATTGACTAACTTCACTCAGCCTAATGGTTTCCAGGTCCATCCATGTCATGAAGTACTTCATGACTTCATCATTGCTGTTTGACCATGCATAGTATTCCATCGTGTGCATGTACCAAAGATTATTCATTTATCTACTGGTGGGCATTTAGGCTGTTTCCAACGTCTTCCTAATGTGAAGAGCACTGTGATGAACATGGGACGGCATATGTCAGGTCTTACTCTGTATCTTACTTCTGTAGGGTATACACTCGGCTGAGGGATTGCTGGGCTATGGAATTTCTAGTTCTAGTTGGTTTTTGAGATGGCATCAGATCGCTTTCCACAATGCTTTACATATTTACAGACCCACCAGCAATGGATGAGGGTCCTAGTCTCTCCACATCCTCTCTAGCATTTATTATTTTCTGTTTTCTTTTTAATTGGGATGTCATTGATGGTGAAAGGTGGCTTTAGGTTTATGTATTTTTTACTTCACATTATATAATAACATTTTATGAGTGTTTAAATTTTCTTAACACCTTGGTGTTTTATTTTGTTAATATACAACTGTTAACAGCTCTCTTACTTTTGAACATTAATGTTATGTTTTGCTGTTATAAATTATGTTCATTTAAAATGTTTGTTCATATGTATTTGTTAACATAGCTAATTTTTCCTTTAAGAAAAGTCTCATAAAGTAGAATTATTAGACCTATGTATAGATAATCTCCCCTTTGAGAGTATCTATTTTAAAAAAAAATAATTTTACTGGGGGCTCTTACAGCTCTTACTACAACCCATACATCCATCTATTGTGTCAAGTACATTTGTACATATGTTGCCATCATCATTTTGAAAACATTTTCCTTCTACTTGAGCCTTTGGTATCAGCTCCTCATTTTTTTCCCTCCCTCCCTCATGAACCTTTGATAATTTATAAATTATTATTATTTTCATGTCTTACACCTACTGCTGTTTCCTTTTAGCCACTTTTCTGTGGCCTGTCCCCTTGGGGAGGGGGATATTATATGTCAATGATTGTGATTGGTTCCCCCTTTCTCACACCACCTTCCTCCTACCCTCCTTGTATTACTACTCATTATTGGTCCTGAGGGGCTTATCTGTCCTGGTTTCCCTGTGTTGGAAGCTCTTATCTGTACCAGTGTACATGCTCTGGTCTTGCCGGATTTGTAAGGTAGAGTTGGGGTCATGATAGTGGAGGGGGTGGGTGGGGCGAGGAAACATTAAGAACTAGAGGAAAGTTGTGTGTTTCGTTGGTGCTATACTGCACCCTGACTGGCTCCTCTCTTCCTTGTGAGTTTCTTAATGCAAGTTTATTAGTCTGTTTTGTGGTAGGTATGTTTCTTGTAAAATTTGAAACAATTTCAAACTAGAAGCTAAGTTGCAATAAGAGTATAATGGACTTCTTGCCTCTGTGAATTACTTGAGAGTAAGGTGCTAACTTGGTGCCCATCATCCCCAAGCATCTCAGTGTGTATGTCTGACATTTAAGGACAATCTCTTACATAATCTCAACACAACTAGTAAAGTCATTCAATACTTAAGCCTCATTCAAGGTTTTGTTCACTATGTCAATATTGTTATTTTAGCAAAGGTTGAGATTCAGGTATCATATTTAGTTTTTATGTCTCGTTGGTCTACTAGACATTGGTCTACTAATGTCTGAAGCAGGTCCTGACTCTTTTTTAGACGTTTATGACCTTGTCACAGTGTAAGATTATAGATCAGCTGTTTGGAGAATGTGCTTCAGTTTGTGTTCCCATTCAGTTTTATTATTTATACAAGACTCCTTACGAAACACATTGATCCTAACTCTCCTTTGTTTAGGTGACAGGAATGTATGTATGTACTTCATTTGAATATGTATGCAAATAGTGAAGAAGCCATAAGCACCATGACTCACCAATTGAAGAATTTATCAATAGCCAGATTGAATAAAACCGTATGGATTTAATAGAAGTCTACCTAATATGGGTTTAGTCTTTAATTTTAAGAAAATGTGCAGTTTTAGTATGTACAATTTGAAGACAATCATACATACAAGGAAGATTAACATTATGCTTAACTATTGATTTTCTTTTCCCGTAGCTATTATCTTCCTAAAAAGTTCACCCAATGTAATATTGAAGAGTATCATGAGTTCTTGAATAGTGGAGGTGGTGCCTGCCTTTTCAACAAGCCCTCTAAGGTAATATGTGTGAACATTGTCATTTGTTATTAATCCCTCCGTAGTGGTTCTCAACCTTCCTAATGCCGCGACCCTTTAATACAGTTCCTCATGTTGTGGTGACCCCCCCAACCATAAAATTATTTTCATTGCTACTTCATGACTGTAATTTTGCTACTGTTATGAATCGGGTGAAAGAGTCGTTTGACCCCCAAAGGGGTCGAGACCCACAGGTTGAGACTTCTGCTCTACAGTATTATACAGAGCCTGGTGCCATAGTGGATTATGTGTTGGCCTGCTAGCCGAAAGGTAAGCATTTTGAAACCACCAGCCACACTGGGGGAACGAAGATGCTTTCTACTCGTCTCTGAAACCCACAGGGACAGTTCTACTCTGTCCTCTAGGCTCTCTATGAATCAGGATTGACTCGATGGTAGTAAGTATAATATTACATGGGAGAAAGGTGAGAGTGTCTGTTTCCTTAAATATTTACAGTTTAAGAAATTATATATTGGGTTGGTTTTGAGTTGGAATGAATTCAATGATAATTGGGGTAAATTGTATTTTAAGTCTAAAATTTCAACTATTGGGTCCTATAAGAAATAGCCCTTGAATGTTACCTATATGTCACATTTTAGATATGCCAAGTAGCTCAATTTCAAAGTCACTATTAATGTTGGGCATTTTGGACTGTATTGATTGATAAAAATGGAAAGTAAATAGAAATAAGAGCATTTGCTTCCTGGAAATTTTCCATTTGATTTGTACGTGGACCAATGATGAGTCAAGGTTCGCTTGAAAACATGTTGTCATTTTGCCTTCCTTTTCTATAGATTTTTTCCCTGTAGGTATCCGGTCACAGCGATTCCTGGTAGAATGGGGGCATGTCCTCCCTCACCTACCACACACAGCCTTGCAGAATGAACAATATCGCTTTTATGCATGATTTGAATTACAAGTACTTTTTTATGTGAAAACCAAGTCTTGTTAGAATAGCACAGAAGAAAGTCTTTCTGTTCTTAAACTTTGTCAGAGACTCTTCGCTGGTTACTGTTTAGAAGGCATATCTTTCTTCTATATTTGCACATAAAGTAGGATGCTTTTTTCTTGTTCTGTGAATTATTGCATGCTTGTGTATATATCAGAAATATATGGTATTGTCTTTGTCGTCACCCAGTTTCAGTCTCTGTTCACTCTGGCGAAATTTAGAAAATGTTATCCTATTACATTGAAAAGTAAAAAATAAAGCCACAGAAGTTGGTTTTAAATAGAATTACTGCTGCTGTAATTGTATAGTAATTCCAGTCTTTTTACCAAATTAAATGAAGATTCTGAGCCCAGCCTCAGAGAATAAGTGCATTTTCATATGGATCAGTTTCACTTTGGCTTTCAAAACTACCTCAATTATGATCATTCTTTTAACTGAAAATGGAACCTAAAGATGTGGAATTGCAATCAAGAGGGTTTTGTTGCTGTTGTTGTTTTCTTCATTCTGCTTTGCTGTTCCCCTTCAGTTAGTTACGAAAAGGCGTGTGTCTACAAAGAAGCATTGATTAACTTCTGAACGTATAGTATGTAGCTGGGACACGATAGCTATTTTCTGCTATACATTTTACTTACTACATCACAGGATGAATTGTAATCAAAAGGTAATAAAATGTATGGGTCGTTAAAGAGTAAGATCAAGACTCTTAAAAGGTCCTCTCACGTGAAGCCAACTAATGGCTTCATTATTTGGGCAAATGATGAGTGCTGTTAGCTGTGTTAGTGTGTTATGTTAGTAGGAGGAGCTGTATTTTATTTGAACCAAATCAACAGATTTATTATTTCTTGTGATACTTTCCTCTTTGTTTCTGAAATAACCCTCTAGTTTCACAAGACGAAATAGTTTTTTTTTTAATGGCTTTACAAAGATGATTGAACTTGAACCCACAACAATCCTGTGATGTAGGAGGGTAACTAATAATGCCATTATTCCTGCTTAGATATTAAACATTCAGAATCCAAGAAGGTGAGCTGCCCAAGATAAGCAATTGAACCAAGAATTGCTTCTAGATGTTCTGTCTCCAAATCTCTTGCTTCTAGTTCAAAATGAAATTTTTGGAATTTCTGGGCCTTGGTTTTAGTCAGAGGTTAGATTGGCCCTAATTGGTATGTATGCTATCTATGTATATATGATGCAATATGAAAGAGAAACAGAAGGAGACACTTCTGTTAGAAACCTACTTTTCCTAGTTTAGAAAAATAAAAAAAATATATTTTGGAATGGCTGGCAAGTATGTTTCCATACAAGGGGACTTCAGAGATGTTCATGGGAAAATTCCATGGTCTTCCAACCATATTTTCCGCAAACTTTTTGAAGTTCATATAGATAGGGTGCTTCAGGTCATTTATAAAGGCTTTGATATTGGCTTCTCAGTCTTTTACTCCCCTTTTGGTTTACTTCCCACAGCTTCTGGATCCCCCAGAGTGCGGCAATGGCTTCATTGAAACCGGAGAGGAGTGTGACTGTGGGACCCCCACGGTAGGTCTGGTTGCTTGGATGATGCTGTGTCCTTAGCTCAGGGTATTCCCAAGTCTGCATGGTGAGATACACAGAGGGACTGTTTGTTGTTTATGGACATGTTGAAGGATTTGCAGAATAAAGCCTAATTTTGTGAGGCCGTGAATTTATTTTAGAAGCCATGCTGGTACATTTGGAAATGATACCGTTTTCTGATACTTTAAAAATGCTTATGTTCCTTAGGAATGTGTCCTTGAAGGAGCAGAATGTTGTAAGAAATGCACCTTGACTCAAGACTCGCAGTGCAGTGATGGCCTTTGTTGTAAAAAGTGCAAGGTAAAAATCTATTGATTGATGACCAATTGGCAGGAAACTATAATTAATTAAATTGTTAAGGCTGTGTGATCGTAATCTAATCTCAAAAATCATATCTAACATAGATTAGTGGCTAGGCGAACCCCATGCATTATAGTTTATGACCCTTACAACAATCTTTTTAGAGATCTGATTACAATAATTCTTCCTACCTAAATGCAGGAGAACAAAGACTTCTAAGGCTTGTAGTCTGCCCATGATTATACACCAAAGAAAACAGGAAGACAGGCCTGAGCCTGGCTAATCCTAGAACTTGTCCCTCTGTGCTCTTCCGGGAGGTGTGTGCACGTTGAACAAAACCAGGAGTTGCCAATCGGTGTGAGTCGTGCCTTTCTCTGGAAAGGCATGTGTATTTCGGCAGGAGACCCTCCATTCTCCTTGCTCAGTTTGGCATATCTCTTACATGAACTCTTACCGGAGCAAAAAGAATACTTACCTTCAATAAAATTATTATCCAAGAAAAAAAAAAGCTTACCTGACTTAACATGTATTCTTATGCATGAAAGTTTTTTGTTTTTTTAAAAAACATTTTATTAGGGGCTCATACAACTGTTATCGCAATCCATACACACATCAATTGTGTAAAGCGCATTTGTACATCATT